AATTCCTCATAATATTGATGTCAGTTGTTTGGAATTTCCATGGAAAACTCTGTTCCTTTTAACAGCTGATGTGGGAGCAACAGTTTTGGCACCAATGGATCAGAAAGTTTGCTCATATTTAATTGTTCACTCAGAATTGTGTAAACTGAGCCAATGGCAGTATCTATGGTTTCAGCTATTATTTCTGCTGCTATTTGTTGATCCTCTTCCATTAGGGAATGGGCAAGATTGGTTTTTCACAAATTGATGTGGATGTCTGCCATAGATGCCTTCATCTTCAACATCCCCTCATTGATCTTAAAATGAGTCATGTATCTGTAAGTTGTAAGAGCTTCAATAAAATGGTCATTTTTGTTTCAATGTGAGTAGAATTCATGTTGCTCTGATAGGACTTCTTTTCAAACTGATGTATTATTTTTCTTAGTGGCCTATTTAGGCATGCTATAACAAGTTAGTACAGTTTATTTTTATACCACAAAAATGGAAATCCATGCATAGCTTTTTCATAATATGCATTTTCCATGGATTTTTGAAGACTCTTTGAATAACATATTCTACTTCCTATGGCTAAAATATAGTGTTTCCAAGGCTGTGATCTTTCAGAAAAGGCGGTGAGATAGTGAATTTAAACTACCAACCTTTCAGCTAGTAAATGCTCAGATAGCCATTTGCATCAACAAAGGATTCCATTTCCTGTGCAGATTTTCAAGTAAGAAAAATGTCAGGTCTGATGACAAGGACATTTGGGCAAGAGCTTTGTTCAGAGCTGAATATATTGTGCTCCAAACTGGTGAATGTTAACAAAACAGACCACACCAGAAAAATATTTAGGAATTAGACACAGACCGATTCATGTGGTATCTATAGGTTGTGTTTCTTCCCAAGGCAATCTGGGAAGGTGTCAGAAACTCAAATAGCTGAAAGTGTCATGTAACATAGCATAAATTAAGAAAGATAATTCATAGAAAAATATGGAACAAATTCAAGAGTTTATAGTCTATCTTTTAAAGGTATCTCTGATTAGCTCTAGCTGAAATGTACTGTGTGAGAATGTGGGTCCAATATCACCAGATCATTCCCTCTGGCTCCCACAGGAAACCAGACTTTGAAATGTCATGAGGACCATACACAGCAGTGGGCCAAACTGCTACTTTGGTTCACTTGACCTAGTATTTGATTATCACTCATAAAAATGCAGTCATGGTGGCAAGCAGGGAGTCTGCACATGGACTTCCCCTCACTAAGCCCAATCTGGTTATCACTGTTTTTTAAAAACATGAAATTTGTCTAAAGAATTTCTAATTTGCTATTCCTCAATCTACGGTACTGTATATTGGCCAAATCCATTTAGATACCTAGTGGATGGTTGATTACTACCTAGGGCTCTTCTATAATGGAAAGTCAGTAATTTGTGGGTTTAATTGTCCTGTCAGCAGCAGTATTAGATTTACTCAATGCTTTAGACTAAACCACATAACAGTACCATTACAGAATTAATTCCACAATTAATTAGCCAAGGGGATGATTAATTGGTTTTGTTATTATGTACCACAATATCTAGAAGGAACAAGAATTGTGGAATGATAGACGGACTTATTGAAGGCCCAGTCATCGCACTTTCCGGCACAGTATTAGCTTTCAAAATGTAAACAATGTGGTGCATTCTCTGTACCAGTGAACACTAATAAATGAAGCTCTTCTTCCAATAGTCAGAACACACAAGTCAGGAACTACGGTAGAAAGGAAAGAAATCATTTGTGTTTATACCTAATGACTTCCTCTCCATTGTTTATTTATTTATGTTTTGTTTTCTTTCCTCATAACTGAGATCTACTCAACTAGAAATTAAGAGAGCAAAAAGAAATGCATTCCTTGATGTGTATAAGGGGGGAAGTGAAGTTTTCATCTCAGTGGAGTTTTCCGCTGAGGCTGCTGCACCCTAGCTATTTCAAATTTTGAAGGTTTTATTTAATTATTTATTTAGTGGGGGGACAGAGAAAAATTATATTAAAATTATAATAATTAAAGCAAAATATCGTTCTCACCACATACAAATCAGAGCTGGAAGAAGTTAAGCTTCTCCATAACAACTCTAGTATAGTGTTTGCTTTGTGCTCTTGAATCCATTCAGACTCATATTGACCCTATAGGGCCCTATGGAGTAGGTGTGCCGCATAGATCTCCTAGGGGTATAATCTTTTTGGGAGGAGCCATGGTGGCACAGTGCTTAAGCTCTTGGCTCCTAATTGAAAGCCATTCTGTGATAGAAAGAGGTAGGAATAGTCATTGTAATTACTATTGCCAAATCAGAACCTATTACACTCAAGTTGATTCTGACTATTCCAAGGATTTCCAGGTGACTAGCAGGATTTCCAAGACTGCACATCTTTCTGAAAACAGACTCTCCCATTGTTCTCCCAGGAAGGAGCTGTTGAGTGTCAGCAATGCTTAACCAAATGCATGGCCAGAGCTCCTTTCCTTGATTACAATATACAATAATAATAATAATAAAAGAAGAAAGAGATGCAACCACTCGAGTATGAATAGCAATGGCTCAGCTCTTCCATGAATAAGGGTGTAATTAACTTTAGTGGACAAAGAAACATAAGCTGCAGCCTGAAAGTAAGAGAACCTGGAAATGGGTAGTGAAAGAAGGTGGCATAAATACCAGCTGAAGCTTGTAACCAAAAAACAGTCAAGCAAGCCCTAAGGCCATCATTACCTGTGCCACCCACTGCTGTAGTCTATTCTGACTGGTATCTAGGGTCATCTGTATCTAGGGTCATCCATCCAAGACCATTCATCTTTACCCTCATCTTTGTCTAGTGGAACAGCTGATAGGTTTGAACAGATTACCTGGCAGTTAGCAATCCATTGCTTACTGTTGTTGTTAGATGCCAGGCTGTGACCTGACTGTCGTGTTGGATCCCCACCCCTACACTTTCATACAAATTCAAGTTGACATAAAATATGAAACTACTAGAGCATCCAACCAGCCAAAAGCCTGCTGAGGCCAACATGTTTGCTTAAAATTTTTAAAATACTGAACTTTGTGAGGTTTCCAAGTTCAGTAATTATCACACAATTGGCAATTCTATCATCTTCATCTACATATTTCTGGATTTTTCCCTTAAAAAAAAAAAATTCCTCAAAGTTAGTTGTCTTCCCTCTCCTGGCTCATTTTTGAGGTCTTCTTGGCATCCTTAAAATGGTTGACCCATCTAAAAACTATCCTTTTATGAGAACATTCTGTAAATTTGTTGCAAAGCCTGAGTTTTGTTTAAAAAAAAGTTATTTTAGCTCTGACCTCAAAATCATGGACACTTTATGTCCAAGGTACATAAAGTATCATTTAACATACCCCATCAATAAATCAGAGATAATTTTTAATTCAGTTAAACTACTGTACTTTTAAAAATGAAGACAATATAAAGTCATCTATTCTTTTTTTTTAAATCATTTTATTTGCTCTCCACTTAAGCCCTTGGCATCAGTTCCTCATTTTTCCCCCTCCCTCCTCACTCCCTCTCCCTCATGAACCCTTGATAATTTATAAATTATTTTGTCATATCTTGCCCTATCTGACGTCTCCCTTCACCCACTTTTCTGTTGTCTGTCTCCCAGGGAGGAGGTCATATATAGATCCTTGTAATCGGTTCCCCCTTTCAAACCAGCTATTCTTCTTGTATTATGTTCATAAAATTAATTTATTTCTTTGTCAGTGCCTATTTAAACAAAGTCTTATTCTCCAAACACAGCATTGGTATAATTGTGCATAACGTGCACATATATTCCATTCTCATCTCTGCCTATAATCCATGAAAACGTGGGAACATGCACAAAAAGAGAATGCCTAACGAATTTGAAATCCTGAGATGACAAGCAGTACCCCAGTGGGGCAAGTCACTTTTTCGGTTTGTTTGCCACCTCGATTCAAGTATACAATTGTCCTAACGCATTGTCCTGATATAATAGTACACACAGCACTAACAGAGATGGGAATCTCAAACTTCTGCTAAATTAGAGATTTAAACTATCTCATTCATCTTGATCACTAATTAGAAAAACAACCAAACAAAACTCCAGTAGAATAGTAGTAAATTCTATTTTAACTGCCCTGCATTGTTTTAATTTTACTGTGAAGCTTAAATGTAACTCACAATTGCCAAGTCCTGAAAATAATACATAGCACAAGCAGGAATTTTTAATCAATGAACCTGCTTAAACTTAGTAAATGGATTAACTGGTAGTGGAAATGTACTAAACGCCTTGATGTTTCTTGTATATATATGTGTGTGTGTGTATGTATATAGAGATATTTAGTATATATTTAGAAAAGCTCAATATACTGCCTTACTTGCAGGCATGGGAATATACAAAGCTAAAAATATATAAAGTACAGAGAACCCCTGCCCCGACTTCAGATCAGCAGCACTCAAAGTGGAAAATCTGCGGTACAAAACTACCTGAGAAATACTTTTACCAAGTGCTGTGCAAACCCCGTCATTCTAAAACAGTCCCCGTGTCGTCGTGAGGGAAGCAAACCAGGTTCAAAGTCCACAAACGCAGTGGGGCTGAGGGTGCAGGGGGTACTGCTATTTGAGAGCGGAGCTGGCGCTGGTACAAAGGGGCAGACACAGGGCAGACCGCCTTTGACTCCCCCTGGAATGTGCTCACGCTGGTCTTCCGATTGGGACTGTCATCTGTTAGAGGGGTTTTCTTTTCTTTCTTTTTTTCTTTTAAAATAATGTGATCCCAGTGTGCTCGCTTTCTCTTGTAGACAACACATGATCCCCAGAGCTGAACAAATATTGACCCACCCCACCATTACACTGCACCCCTAGATGCACCAGTTTCCAAAGGCCGGGTGCCTAGGGACTTGGGAGAATCTTCCTGAGAGGCTGTAGTCCTAGCAAAGAAAATTCAGCCCACTGGGGTTGCTAATTCAGCAGGCATGCCTGGGGAGAGGGGGAGAAGAAAGGACGTTGACGATTACTTACAGTGCGCGTCCAGGACCGAGAGCAGCAAGGGGAGGCACGCTAGCAGCGCCGCGCAGCGCCCCCCGCGAGCCCTCATCGCGGAGCCGGGGGCGGCGGGCGTGGGAAGCGGCGCGGCGGGACCGGAGGGCTGGGCTGGGCGGCCGGGCTGCAAGTCTGGGCGCCGTGGAGCGAGCAGGGCTGACTGCCCGGGCCCAGCGCGTGCCAGCGCAACAGCGATTGTGAGGGCGGAGGAGACCGCCTGGTCCCAGCCCCCAGCCCGGGAGGGGATAACCAGGACATTTCCAGGAAGCTCTGGGAGCTAGGGGGGAGGGCGGAGGGCGAATGCTTGGAGGCCTATTAGGCACTGCGGTTTGCAACCCTCCTTCGCTTGTCACGGAGTTCCGGCGTCTGGGTTCCCTTCCCCAGGGATGTGAAGTTTCTGAAGTTCCTGAGAACAAGGGAACACACTACAAACCGGGAGCAAGCGCAAAGACTGCGTGGGAGGCTCAGCGGCTAAGAGCACAGGAGAATTTTCTGGGAGAGGAGCGTTCCAGAGAGATCGACTTGGAGGATGAGGATGTCCCCAGAACCTAGAAGCTGTTTTAGAGCTTGAATTCTGAGCGCCTGGCTTCAGGAGGCTCTGGATGACAGTGAACGCCCCCAAATCTGTTCTTGCGTTTATCTCTAACCTGCCTCATCTTCAAAAGTATCTTCCTTCTTGGTCTGAGAGAATCTGCTCTCCAGTATGTCAGTCTTTTCACTACTTCACCCCCAGTGTTAAGTGATTCAATTATCGGTACAATTTATTTCTCGGTAGCATTCTGTATATTAAATAAAATAACTCTTAAGTATTGTATTTATTTACCAAATGTATAGGTAATCCCTGACTTACCAGACTTGTGGTTCATTGTGAGTTACTCCCAACTGATGAAGATCAAAGTTTGCAGCCTTCAGTATGGATGTAAAGAGAACCAACATTCTCACAACTGGACCAATAGGTAACATGATAGAGAAAAGATTGAAGTTGTCAGGATTTCATCTTGCTTGGATCCACAATCAATGCTCATGGGAGCAGCAGTCAAGAGATCGAAAGAGGCATTACCTTGGGTAAATCTGTTGCACAAGCCCTCTTTAAAGTGTTGAAAAGCTAGCATGTTACTTTGAGGACTTAGGCACACATGACTCAGATGATGGTATTTTCCATCGCCTCAAATGCATGTGAAAATAGCATATTGAATAAAGATTTGAATTGTAGTGCTGTCAAAGAATATTGATAGTACCATGGACTGCCCCCCCCCCCCAAATGCAAACACACAAAATAAAAACAGCCCTGCTTTGAAGGAAGTACAACCAGAAAGCTCCTAAGAGGCAAAGATGGTAAGACTTCATCTCTTGTACTGGGGGCATGTTATCAGCAGAGACCAGTTCCTGGAGAAAGACATCACGCTGGGTAAAGTAGAAAGGCAGTGGAAAAGGGGAAGCCCCTCAACAGGACTGATTGACCTCGTAGCTGCAACCACTGGCTCAGGCACAGGAGCAATTGTGAGGATGGCACAGGAGTGTGCAGCCCTCAAGCAGATGGACTGACATAGTGACTGCAACGCTGATTTCATACACAAGAGCCACTGTGAGAACAGAGTAGGAGCAGCCAGTGATCCCTTCGGTTGTACATCGAGTTGCTATCTCTTGGAAGCGACTTCATGACACCTAACCCCCACCACCAACGGTGCAGAGGACTATCTTCTTTTATATCATTACTAATATGAGCTACATATAATGTTAAGTACATCTGCAAGTTTACATGTACTGTTTCCCACACCAAAAACAAATAAAACCCAGATTTATAAAGACACTAATGATGAAAGGAAATAATTAAAACATTTAAAAAGGAGGGATGTGACTTATGCCAGAACCTACCTTACTCAGGAGCTGATGGAACAGGACTGCATAGTAAACCAGGGTAGAGTATCATTGTAAGGTGTCAAAAATTCCCAAGGAGGCAAAATCTATAAAAGTTTGGCTCAAAGCATCAAATGAGATCTAGAACAAAAGCAAAAATATCCAATCTACACATTTTAAAAATGTGTGAAGGAATAAAGGGAATGTTAGAAGAACATAGAAAATCTTTTAAAAAAAAACTCCCAAAATTTTATTTGAAAGTATATTTTTGCACCCTAAATTTGTACTGTAGTGCCAATAATATTTGTGTGTTCTATACTGTGATCTCAAACTTTAAAAAAATCATCTATTGTTATGTATATTATATATACATGTATGTGTATATATATATAACCATGTATGTGTGTGTGTATATATATATATAAAACCAGTGGACATATATATATGACCAGTGGTCACAATTATTGCCAATGGAAAGAAACTGAAAGTATATTCATGGTTAATGAAAGAATCAAAGATGTCCTGTATCACCATTCCTATTCAATTTTGTGCTGAAAGTCTTTGCCAAAGCTATAAGACAAGAAAGGAAAATTAGAGGCATCCACATTAGCAAAGAAGAAATAAAACTGTTTATAGATTATATGATCCTATATATAGAAAATCCCAAAGTGCATACCATGACTCCAGGGCTCATATAGGTCATATGAAAAGAAACCCACAAAAACAAAAACAAAAAAAACCCCACTGCCATCAAGTTGATTTTGACTCATGGCTACCCTAGGTGAGGTTTCTGAGGCTGTAAATCTTTATGGGAGCAGACATACAGATAAAGCTTTTTTTTCTCTCTCTAATCCTCATCTTTCTCCCACATAGCTGCTGGTGGGGTTGAACCATTCACCTTGAGGTTAGGAGGCCAATGCCCAATCTTGAGCTCTTGGGGGAAACGATGTCTTTCAAGGTAGGTCATTGAAATAGTTGAGTAAGTTCTCCAACAGTTTGGAGAAAGATAGAAGGATACCTGCCATAAATATTGTCAGCAGAGCAACATCAATTTCTCAACCTGCTATGATGTGTCAGAAACAACACTGGACTCAATCATCTAATAACCTTTTAAAGTAGGTAATACCCACAGAACAGGAGTGAGAATAGTGATACCAGAAGGGTAAGGGGAAGAGGGGAGTGGTAGGAAGAAAGGGGTAACTGATCGCAATGATCGACACATAGCCATACACCCCTCTACAGGGGGAAGAACAACAGAAAACATGGGGGAAGGGAGACAGCAGTCAGTATGAGAGATGAAAATAATAAGAACGTACAATCTATCAGGGGGTTATAAGGGTGGTGTGGGGAGGGGCGAATAAAAAAAAGAGGAGCAGATACCAAAGGCTCAATAGAAAGTAAATGTCTAGAAAACAATGAAGGTAACATATGTGCAAACATGCCTGATTCAATTGATATATGGATTGTGATAAGAGTTGTACAAGCCCCCAATAAAATTATTACCAAAAAAAGTAGGTATTACCACTCTTGATTTTACAGATGGAATACTTGGAGTGCACTACCTAGATGCAGAGAGTATAATCTGTGTGAGACATGTGAGTTCAAATTAAGGTCCCACAAACTAGGAAAAGAAAGAGCAATTTTAAATCTAGGTGTATGTAGTACCAGACTAATATTTTCCCTGGATGAAGCAGACTTTCCAGTGTCCTTGCTCTTTTCCTTATGTTAGCGGAAACTGGATGGACACACAGGTCCCCACATATTATGCAAGCATTTTTTTCTGTGAACAATTACTTGCCATTTCTTCTCCAAACAATACAATTCAGATTGAAAAAATAGAATAAAATATTGTGAAACAGCCAATCTTGGGAAAATCAAATATCTAATAATCTCTATATGTAAACATTCTGGGAAAAACATAATGTTAACACTGCATATATCACTGGGTACTGAGTTTTGAGATCTTACTTTCTTCAACTTGTCCCCTTTCTTGTATTTTCCATCTTTTCTAGTGTATGTATTTCTTTTTATCCTAATCCCCTACCATACATATCATAGAACTGTGATAAGTATTATGCAAGTTAAAAGGTTACTGTCATTTAAACGAGGAGCCCAGTGCATTTTGGTAGAGTTATCTGAACAACTGAAATAATGCTGCATGGGAGCCCTCTGCCATTCCATCCCCAGGCCTTATGATCCTGTAGAGTTGGACTGATAAACCACAAAATCGTGGCTTCAAAACCACTCGCTTCTTGGTGGGAGAAAGTTAAGCTGTCTGCTCCCGTAAAGATTTACAGCCTCGGAAACCCTATATAGGATCACTATGAGTCAGAATCAACTAGATTGCAGTGAGGTATATAAATGCCCCCTAGGATTTGGGAGCCCAGATATTGAGCATTTAAAGTGTTGACGGAATCCCAGAGATTATTATTCCTGCTCCACAAAACAAAATAAAACAAAACACGCCGCGATATGAGCTCCCTGAATCTCAATTGGCGATCATGGAGATAAGCCAGCAACATCCTCTATCTCTGTACGGATAGACTCAGGCACCTGCATGAGTCCCAGCCCCCTGGGTTTATCTCTAAGACGCTCCCGTTGCTAAGTTACAAAAAAAAAAAAAAAACCCTCCTTCACTTAAACCACGCCCCAATCTCTTTCTACCTTCCTGGCATGGGAGGGGCGCCGGCTTCCTTCAGCCACTCAGAGGCCTTCACTGAGGGCCCTCGACTGATAATTGGAGAAGTTCATGGGCGGGGTTTGGGGCGGGGTTTCCGCGCAGAGGAGAAACGTCAGCACGTCGACGCGGGGGTTTTTGGGTTTTCTTCGGCCGGATTCTACTCTCCCCGCCCTAGGTCCTCTGCGCTTTGGGCTCTGCATCCCCCGGGGAGGAGCGTAGTCCTTGTCCTCTCAGACGCACGCAATGATCAGGGCTTGGTGACTGGACGAGTAGCCTTCGCCGGTTTCTCAGCCTCCCTGTGCTTATCCGCCAAAGAGGCTCATCGGAACGCCGGCGCCCCACGGGACTTGGCCTGGAGCAGCCAGGAGCCCATCCCCGCTCCCTGGGGCCCGGCCCTGCTCCGGCGCGGATGGGAGGCGGCGGGAGGAGCTGCAGGGGATGTTCAGTCTGATGGCCAATTGCTGCAGCTGGCTCAAGCGGTGGCGGGAACCCGTCAGGTAGGCTGGAGCAAGGTGGCCTGGCGCCTCCCCAGTGTTGGGGTGGCGGCCCAGAGGGTCCGGGAGGTACCTCCGATCCTTGCCCCAACCCCAGGCGCTCATTCCTGCTCGGCTTGGTCTGGCCCTGCAGGGAGAAATGTTTTAAGGTGTATGTAGCTTTATTGCTTGGTTACGTTTAAGATAAGTTCTGATCAATGTGGCTTCGTTTTACAGGATATTGTACATAGAATTTCTTAAATTGTGCCTGGGGGGTTGGTAATGTGTGTAACTGGAAACTTTTGTGTTTTTCCTCTGAAGCAGCCTCCACATAACCCTTTCCATCATACACACACCCACACCCTGTTTTGTTGGATGACTTGGGTTAGAAATAAATCTGGCTCCACTAAATTATATGGTTTAACCGTTTAGACCTCATCTTCCACATATGTTAAATGGGGGTGTGTTAGACAGGCTGGCACAATAAACTATCTCAGGGGGTGATGGTATCTATGCTTTAGGGATGTTGTATTCAGTGAGAGTAACAGATAACAATGTGTGTACTAGTCTGCAGTGTAGTGTCAATTTTCATATGTACTCTATTGAAAAAGTGTCTACCTCTTAATATTCTTTTTTGAAAGATAGGTGTATTAATATTAATATCTCTTGCTTGTTACTTGATCTGTTACTTGATACTCATTCACATACTGTGTTAGAAAGAAGTCATTGAATATGATGCTTTTAAAACCCTGTGGCCCAATCTATTAAGGGACCTTGATTTTGGTTCTCATTATAAGTAATGTTAACTTCATACATTTCTACTCCAGATTTAAGTCAAGAATAAAACAAGTTTGTTTTTTTACTGTTGAAATTTTAACCATAGGATGAACTGTCCTTTAACGAATGACTCTGAAAAGCTACACAAATACTGAACATATATATTACATCTGGAAAGTAAACTTGCATTGAATGAAGCATTTGAAATTAACTGTTCACTCTAACCAGATCTGAGGGTTGACTTTTTATTCCACTATGATAGATAACATAATATCTGTAGCAATGCAAAGCATTCTTATTTAAATATAAATGGTAAGATCTCATGATTTTTACAGTGAGATTTTTTATTTTTCAAGAATAATTTCCTCTTTGAAACTTTATGCTTTCTGAAGAATTTTTAAAGGTCAGTGTGCTATCTTTCATTGAGGAGCCCCTAAGTGGCCCAAATGGTTAAGTACTGGACCACTAAAGGAAACGTGGTTCAGATCTACCCAGAAACACTTCAGAAGTAAAGACTGGCAATTCTGATGCCAACTGTCCCCACAACACTATGTCTGAGGGTGAGTTCGATGATTCTTTGCTATAGCCATCCAGAACTCACAAGCAATGCCACAATTATGGGAATCTTTAGGGAAGTTAACAGCTTACAATTTCAGGTGTAAAATTCAGATGAGAAATGATCAGATTACAGTTATTCAGTCAGGACAGTTTCTTCTCTGCCATGGCCCCTCTTGCCCTCAGTCTCTTGGTCTAAGCAAAATCCTACTCAGGTGATGTTAAAAAGCTCTTTTTGGACTGCCAAAAATGCCCCAAAGGCATGCCACTACACTACCCTGTTTCCCCGAAAGTAAGACATCCACTGAAAATAAGACCAACTTACAGTTTTGCCTCTAGCTGAAATATAAGGCATCCCCCTGAAAATAAGACCTCCCCGAAAACAAGGCCCCCAGAAACTACTGTAACTCTGGACTGTAGTGGTGGGCGCCCCCGAGCAGCTCACTGTTGGCCACAGTGCAGCCGAAGCAGACAGGAAGTGTGAGGTCTCTTTTAATAAAACAATAAATGTGTACCATATTCTTCTTCATGGAAAAATAAGACATCCCCTGAAAATAAGACCCAGCGCATCTTTGAGAGCAAAAATTAATATAAGACACTCTTATTTTTGGGGAAACGGGGAAACATCACTACAAAGGCACTCCGCTCCAGCTCCTTGGGTCAGCAAACCCAGCTCCTGTAATGGTTTACAGTCTCTATAGAGCAGTGGTTCTCAACCTTCCTGTGCCGCGACCCTTTCATACAGTTCCTCATGTGGTGGTGACCCCCCACCATAAAATGATTTTCATTGCTACTTCATCACTGTAATTTTGGTACTGTTATGATTCGGGCGACCCCTGGGAAAGGGTTGTTCGACCCCCAGGTTGAGAACTGCTGCTGTACAGGGTTGCTATGGGTAGGAATCTGCTCCATGGCAGTGGGATTTTCCCTCAAAAATGCGGAGTTCTTAATCAGAGTTTGTCTTTGCCAAGTTATAGTTGGAATTGCTGTCTATTTTCAGTTTAAATTTACTTCGTTTCAGTCTTTTTTTTTTAAGAAATAGGTAACAAATCTTGACGTTCTGGCCTCCCAGAGCATGGACCAGGGATGTGAGTAGCCTTGCTGTCTGCAGAATGCATTGGGAAGTGGATTGTTGCAGAAGCAGTTAGGTTGACATTTAGCACCTTATCATTTGATCTCCATATGATCCATTTAAATTTGCTAAAGTTTTTAATATTTACTGCTTTCTTTTCCATTGAGGTTTTTATTTGTTTTACTTTGTTGTCTTTGTTAGTTTGGTTTTTTTTTACCTTTAATGATATGAAATGTAGGATAGGTAAATCTATAGAGACAGTAACTGGACTAATGGTTCCTTGGTTGGGGGGAAATGGGGAGGTAATAATGATGAAAAACGAAAATGAAGAAGATGTTCTAAAACTGAATGTAGTGATGATTATACAAATTTTCTTGCTGTCATTGAGCTATTAATGTGTATGTTATAGTGTATATTATATTAATGTGTATGTAAGTTATATTGGCATATAATTTAAAACTTGAGAAAAAAAAGAAATAGGTAACAAATCCTTGAAGCCCTGGCCCCCAATTTATCTTACATATCCCTCCCCTAAAACAAGAGACACACATTTCACACTAAGCAACATGGCTGGATATTTTCTGTTATCAGTGTCACTCCTGCCCTGGAGTCAATTCTGACTCCTGCTGGTCCATAGGACAGAGTAGAACTGCCCTTGTGGGTTCCAGGAGCTGGTGATTTTGAACTGCTTACCTGTGGTTAGCAGCCTAACTCATAACCCACTATGCTACTGAGGCCCCTGTACGTCAGTGTGGTATCTAGTACAGCACACTATGGCATGGTATGTCATCTCTGTGTGAATTTTTTCAGTAAGGCCTGCTCTTCATACATATAACTGGAATTTTTTAACATCATTTATAGAAACTGATGAGTTCCTAACTTCCTAATTAAGCCGTACTTACAGATTAGAAAGAATTATCTGATTGGCTGAACTGGAATGTCTTTTTACCTTCCCATACGTTCTTGCTTATATATAGTAAGCATCATGTAATTTAAGGATTGAAAGGAGCCTAGAGATATTTTACTACCTATACTTTAGAGCAGAAACAACGGACACTAAGAATTTGGCTTGGTCAAGAGTTTAAAGATGGCAAATGATCACCAAGGTTGACATTCTGCTATGAAACCCACTGCCCTCTAGTGTGATAAACTCATAGTGACCCTGTAGGATGGAGCAGAGCTGCCCCTTTGGTATCCAAGGCTGTAAATTACCACTGGACCAAAACGCCGCAACTTTCTCCTACAGAGCAGCTGGCAGATTTGAACTGCTAACCTTACACAGTTAACAGCCCAGTGGGTAATCCTCGGTGCCACCAAAGCTCAGTTTATCAGTGTTCACTAAATGTAGATAGTGATTTTTGTGTGTTCCAGTACAACATTACTATTTTAACTTCTTATTGTGGTAGATAGTGATTTTGATGTACTTGTATGTGGGCTGTACAACCCAACTTAAATATCAGAAAATAGGGTACTTGTGTACCAAATCAAATTTCTGTGCGTGTGTGAGGGGTTTCATTTTTATGACTTTTTGGTAAGTTGTTTCATTCTCTTAAATATATGGAATGTGTGTTTGGGTTACTTTTAAAATGTAAAGCTCGATTCAAGTAATTTAAAGTATAATAGATAATACTTTGATGTGTTGAACTTAAAACAATTTAGTGATGTATTTTATTTTAGATGTGTCTACTTTTGAAGTTAGAAATAGTATTTTTCTTGCTTAAGTGGCTGTAATAATGTCATTCACAAAAGATTTCAGAATTCACATTTTCTGAGTCCAAGTTCAGCACTCTCATGCCATGCTGCTGCTTAAAATGTATAACTTTGTAGATATTTTGCATTTTGTATTTTCATGAATACATTGGTGAGGTTTAATGAGCTGTTGAATGTAAAACTGATGATCTACTCTGTGAACTGTTCCTCCCCGCTCCCACTACCATGACTCGAATTCTATCTTGCAAGACTGGCTAGACCAGAGGAGGTACACTGGTACAGATAGGAACTGAAAATACAGGGAATCCAGGATGGATGAGCCCTATAAGACCAGTGGTGTGAGTGGCAAAACAGGGAGGGTAAAGGGAGAATGGGTAGGAAAGAGGGAACCGATTACATGGAACTGTGTGTGACCTCCTCCCTGGGGGACAGACAACCAAAAAGTGGATGAAGGGAGACGTCGGACAGGGCAAGATATGACAAAATACCCATTTATAAACTATCAAGGGCTCATGAGGGAGGGGGGAGCGGGGAGGGAGGGGAAAAATGAGGACCTAATGTCGGGGGTTTAAATGGAGAGAAAATGTTTTGAGAAACGATGTACAAATGCGCTTTACACAATTGATGTGTGTATGGATTGGGATAACAGTTGTATGAGTCCCCAATAAAATGTTAAAATAAATAAATAGATAAATAAATAAATAAATTTTTAAAAAAAGAACTGGAAAAAAAGATTTAAAAAGTTTAAAAGGAGGGGGAGTGGGGCGGGAGGGGGAATAAGAGCAGCCGTTATTAACGGCCACAGTAGAAGGCAAATGTTTTGAGAATGATGAGGGCAACAAATGTACATATGTGCTTGACACAATGGATGTAGGTATGGATGGTGGTAAGAATTGTACGAGCCCCAATA